TGGAAAATACTTGTTCTTGAACTATTTTGTTTTTCTTCCACTTCTTTCCTTTCTAGTTTTACTTTTTTCTTTGACCCTACAGATCTCATTGCTGCTGCTTCTTCTTTCTTCTTCACCTTCTTCTTCTTCTTTTTAATTACATCTTCTGTGGTTCTATTATTTTATTTTTTTCTCTTCTCTTTTTGTGTTTTGTGTTTTTTTTTTACTTTTTTCTTTTGGTTCTATTATTTTAAATAACAGAAATATAGAAATGTAATTCAGCCAGGTGGTGGTGGTACACGCCTTTAATCCCCGCACTCCAGAGGCAGAGGCAGGTGGATCTCTGGGTTTGAGGTCAGCCTGCTCTACAGAAGGAGTTCCAGGACAGTTAGGGCAGTTACACAGAAAAACCCTGACTTGGGAAAACAGAAACACAAACAAACAAAAAAGGAACGAAAGAAATGTAATTCAAATACCACAATGTCCATATGTTACATAATTCAATGGCTTTTAAAGCATCCGCAGCCTCGAAACGCTAGCATTTACTGGAGAATGTTTGCATTAGCAACTGGAAAGAGCATATCTATTTGCACACATTTCCCAGTTCATACTCATAGCCCGGGACCAGCCATCCATTTTCAGAAGAATGTCTTCACGCAATAAACGGCCTTTCAGGCTGACCTCCTTTCACTTACCACAATCATTTAATGACTTATCCACTTTGTGGCATGTCATTTTTTATTTTTACATTCCAATGTGTGCATAAACCAGATTAAATTTTGTTTACATTGATTTTGTGTGCGTATGTGTGGAGATCAGAGGACAACCTGTGGGAATCACACCCAGACTGGCCTCGAACTCTGCCTCCTCGTGCTGGGGTTAAAGGTGTGCACCACCACACTCTGCTTTGTTTCAGCCCTATTAAAACAAACAAACAAACAAACTTCCAATTGCTTCTAAGTTCCAATTAGAGTTTTTCTTTCTGTTTTTTTGTTTGTTTTTGAAACAGGCTTTACTAGAGGCTTTAAACCTTACATTAAATGAGAAACAAGGTATCTACTTTCTTCATTCTTATGAATACAGAATGAGTCTGTATTTACATTTTGGTGTTTTGTTAGATCAAGTGTTTCCCCAGTTCCAGAATGTAGTTTAATTGCTCCCAGTGTCTGGAAGCTCTCCTCAGAACACTTGGATTGGGAAATTTATGAAGAGTGCAAAACTAGAAGGAAAACAGTAGGTGGACAGAAAGGGCTGTCTGGAGGAGGAGAGGTGGGGAGGGAAGGCAGGGGAAGTGTGGGGGCAAATATGCTCAATGTATAAGCTCATGTGAAAATGTCCTATATACCAGAGTGCAATGAATGCACACAAGGGAAAAAAAGATAAAAACCTTGTGTTTTCAATGATAAAACCAAAGTTAAACCCAACTGAACCAAATCTACCAGTGTTGTCTGACAGGAATGTTTATTTTTCTGTCACCCCTAGAGGGCAGTACACTGCATTAGTACTCAGACAACAGCTTAACACCAATTTACCGGACTTTAAAAACTTCATTTGCATGCTGGGCTGAGCTCCCAAAGTCCAGTCGAAGAGAGGGAGGAGCAATAATGAGCAAATGGGTCAAGACCTGATGGGATACCACTGAAACAGCCTACCTGAGCTAGTGGGAGCTCACTGACTATGCACTGATGGGGGTGGTGGGGTGCTGGGGTGGGGAGAGGACACGGACATGGTACGGGATCCTGCATAGGACCAAACTAGGCCCTCTGAATGTGGGTGATGGTTGAATGGCTGGGACAGTCTGTGGGGCCACTGGCAGTGGGACCAGGATTTTTCTTTGCTTGTACTGACTCTTTGAAACTCACTCTCTTTGGAGGGACACCTTGTTCAGCCTAGATATAGTGGTGAGGACCTTGGTCCTGCCTCAAAGCAAATGTGCTGCTTTGTTGATTCCCCATGGGAAGCCTCACCCTCTCTGAGGAGTGGTTGGGGGTGGAATGGGGGTGCGGAGGAAGCATAGGAGAGGAGGTAATGGAAACTGGGATTGCTATGTAAGAAGGTTGCTCTATTACTTGGTAAGAGGACAGCTCTGCCCCTACAAGGCAGAGCTGTTTTGTTTTGGTGTAGTTGTCTTTTTCTTCCACCCTGTGGGCCCTAGAGTTGCCAGGTTTGGTGGCAAGTGCTACTAAGCTATCTAGTCGACCCCTTTTAACCTATCATGCGTCAAGTTTGTACTGAATCTTTATTCAGATTTAGAATTCTCAGAGATCTGTTAATTTTTACTTGTTTACAAAAGTGAGTTAGGACAAATATTCAGGAGGACTGTAACTCCTATAAAACTGTCGTTGAGAAGATTGTCCAGTCTCAGGGAACGTTCACAGTAGCATTGTAAGAGTCTGGTGGCTGCGGTCCTAGTCCACGCCCTGGGTTCTGACCCTGTGCTGTGCAGGCCTGTTTTCATGCTTATATTGAGCTTTTGATTACTAAAGCTTTGTAGTATATTTTAAAGTCATACTTTAGAACTTTTGCTAAAAATAGTTTTTGCTATTTTTATTTTTAGAAGAGTTTCAAATTTTTGGGTTTATTTTCTAGTTCTATGTAGAATGTCATTGGTATTTTGATAGGGGTACATTAAATATCTAAACTGCTTTGTGTAGTCTGATCAATAATATTTATTATTCTAACTCATGAACATAAGGCAAGATTACCTTTCAAGATTTTTGTGTTCCCTTTAATTTCTTTGATTAACACCTTTTCATTGTCATTATAATCTTCCACCTCTTTGGTAAATGTAGTCCTAGCTATTTGATTTACTTTTTGACGGCTATTATAAAGGGATGTTGCTTCATTTCTGTTTCAGATAAGTTACTAACATCACTAATTTTTTATGTTGATTCTGTATCTCACAGTTTTGTAGAGCGTACTATTAGTTCTTTAGTTTTTTGGTGTTGCTTGGGCTTCTACACATAAGAAAACACCGCTAGAAGCTAGATGTGGCAGGGCTCCTCTGCAATCCCAGCCAGGCTCTCACGACTCCTCCCTTAAGGTCATCTCATCCAGTCTTACGGCTATTTACATCAGGGTACACCGACAACTCCCCAGTTACATGTCCATCTGTCCCTGCATTCCAGACAGAAGTATCTAAGGGAATAATTAGCCAAGTCACCATGGGGACAGCTGATAGAAAAATCAAAATGTAAGACGTGTTTTTTAAAATAGCTACCATTGGCTCTCGTGGACTCCACCCCAGGATTTCCACCGTTCTCACAGCCAGTCTGGCCACAGTCACCAGTGCAACCATCCTGGACTTCTCCTATCCACTCTCTATTTCATCAAAATTTATCAGAAAATAAGAATCCAAAATATCTTCATTACTGTCTGCTTATTACCATTGCTGTTATTAAGGAGACCCAAACCATGGGCTCCCTGGTTCCTGGTCGAGCTTGTTCTGGGCCCTCCCTCAGCCCGTGTTGTTTTCTCTCCACTATAACATACAGAGGACTCCAACAGGCCCCAACTCAGTCCGGTGTCTGGCCTTTGTATTCCTGTCCTCTGTGCGAGCGCCATCCTCCCAACGCCAAAGCTATCTTCTGATTGTTGTCTAGATTTCATTCAGTACATTGATAACCATCTCACAGCTTATCTTAAATATTTAAAATTGCATTTTTCATATAAACTACACCTGTTTTAGCTTCTTTTCAGGATTTAGTACAGAAGAGTGCTTGACTGTTCTCTCCTGTATTCCTTATTTAGGTCTACCATCATTTCAGTTGTTTATAGACTACACAAATGACAATATGGATTTTCCAGGAATTATTGACCTAGAAGAGACATATATGTCTACAAGTAAGTTCAGTTTATTGTACAAATATATCATTTGTTTGGAGTAAGAAGCAGAGATGATCATTATGAGAAAAACTGAACAAAGTTCCACCTCACAGGATTTAAAACAGTGAATGAACGATTCCTGGAATATTAAGAGGGTGTGGGGAGACCTTTCCAACACTGAATGAACAGGCATGGAGGTATGAAACAACAGGCTTTACTGAGGGAAAGAATAAATAGTTTGATGTAACTGTCACAAGAGGAAAAGTGGCAACGAAGATGACAGCAAAGAAGATGACAGAACACTAGACGCCAGATAAACACGGCTAAGGCCTGAGGAGAGGAAGTTCCTTCAGCAATGAGAGATGTGTCTTTTTATAGCAGCATGTGATTCTCACTTCAGAGATCCCACCAGAAGCAAGAAATCAAGCTGAAATTGAGCTGAAATAATCTATATGAGGGTGTGAAGCAGAAAGTACTGGAGGGAAGTAAAACAGTGAGAGATGATCATAATTTCTTTGGTTGCTTTGTTTTTTGAGACAGGGTTTCTCTGTGTAACAGCCCTGGCTGTCCTGGAACTTGCTATGTAGACCAGGTTGGCCTCAAACTTACAGAGATCCATCTACCTCTGTCTCCCAAGTGCTGGGTTAAAGGCGTGCACCGCCACCACTGGTTTTCTCATTATAAACCCTTTAGAAAGATCATGTAACTTTCGGCATTGCTTCAGTATTCAAACCTCTAATATAAGTCTAGTTGTACAAATAGATATTCCTAACAGTGAATAAAAAATACTGATTAGAGAAAAGTTATCGAGCATACTTCAGTTTTCATGTTTGCCATCTGACCCCTTTGGATTTTAAAACTATATTGTTTACATGTATGTGTTTGTGCATTTGTTCATGTGTGTGAATACACCTATGGTAGCCACAAGAAGGTGTGAGATCCCTTGGAACTCGAGTTGGTTACAGATTGTAGTGAGTCACCAAAGTGAGTCCTGGGAACATACTCCAGGCCTCTCAAAGAACAATAAGCACTCTTAACTACTAAGCCATTACTCTAGTCCTTATGCTGAATTTTTAAAATGTCAGAGGTGTTTTGGAGACAGATGACCCTTGAATAAAATGATAATATTAATTACTGAGCATACAAGCTAAAAACCCACCCTCTTGGTAACATAAAAAGGCAGAGCTCCTGCAAAGTCTTAAACAAATAGCTTTATTATTTTGGTGGGATGTTATTTATTATAAGCTTCTTGGATACTTGTACAAAAATGTATTAGAATTAAGAATTTCAGAAAACAAAGCTTCACTATCATACTTAACACATAATTTGAGTAATAAAATAGCCTCTTTTATTTTTACATAGAGAAAACTTATATCCATTAGCATGCTTATTGAAAACAATGAAGTATTTCATTCATTAAAAATGTATCAAGAAAATCCATAATAAAGTATAATTTGTAGCATAAATATAAGCCAGGAAATTCATTTCCATCACCTACATTATGATTTACTTTTATAAACATAAAAGTCTAGTATTTAAAATCATTAACAAATGCAGAAATACAGAATTTATTTACAGAATTCTCAAAAATAACAACTTCACTAAATAGCGACTGTCACAGTTGATCAGTATTTCCTCTGCACTCTGGATCCAACATCAGGAGAGAGCCTGGTCCGCGGCTGGCTGTTCTGTAAGAGAGTTCAGAGTGTTCTCTGAGCATCAGGTCCACAGACGTTGGCAGCTCATTCTCCTTTCAGATTATGGCTTTTAAGAAGACTAAACTCAAATCAAAATTCTTAAATGGTACATATCAACAATGCCGAGTCCTGCTCTATGCAGAGCACAGTATGGCCGTAATAATTCCTAGTCTTTATATTACTAACGGTAATGTGCTTCAAAGAAACTCCCCGAGAGCAGGGGTACGGCTGTGGCCGTGCGTGGACAGGGGTCCTGTCTCTATGTGATTTTAGGCATCCTTTTCTCTACCCCAACTTACTTTATTATTACTTTTTTGAGACAGGGTCTCTTCACTGAACTTGAAGATCACCATTTTGGCTGACTGGCTGGCCAGTGGAGCCCTGAGATTTGCCTGTTTCCATGGCCAAGGGCTGGGTCACAGACTATATCCTGTTGGTAGGTGGGCTGGGGATCTGAACTCAGGCCCTCAGGCTGTGGAGCAAGGACTTGACTGCTGAGCCACCTCTCCAGGTCCTTAAGAACAGCTTTCTAAATTCAGGTGTGCTGGCTACTCCCATTATCTCAGCACTTGGGAGGTGAGAGTCAGAGGATCAAGAGTTCAAGGCTAACTACAGGAGCCCTGTCTCAAAAAGCACAACACAATGCAGAGAAACTTTTGTCATCTGTTGTGTAAATGGTCAAATATAATAATTTCTTCCTTCCTTCCTTCCTTCCTTCCCTCCCTCCCTCCCTGAATCCCTCTCTTCCTTCCTTCCTTTAAACAAAAGCACTGGGAAGCATGTAAGGCTTTAGGAATGTTTAACATATATTTTAGGCCAAAGATAAAGTTGCTTCTTAAAAAAATTCATTAAATTTATTTTATTTTAAGCCAGGTAGTGGTGGTGCATGCCTTTAATCCCAGGATTTAGGAGAGGCAGAGGCAGGTATATCTCTGTGAGTTCAAAGTCAGCCTGGTCTACAAAGTGAATTCCAGGACAGCCAGGGCTACACACAGAAATCCTGCCTTGAAAAACCAAAGGGGAAAACAATTTAAAAACTAAGTAAGATACTCTAAAATGAAAATTCTAAGATTTGCAGGGATTTTTTCCTTCGATAATGTGCACCTAAGCAATTGTAGGGCCTTGGCAGTCCTGTGGAGACCCAGCTGCAGCCTTAGCAGAGTGCCTGATACACAGAAAGAATCAGAGTCAGCTTGGTCTACAGACTGAGTTCTAGGACAGTCAGAGACAGAGTAACCCTGTCTACTAAGCCAGCATTTGAACCTATTAGATTCAAATGGTTACCCATAAAACTGTTTTTTATAACTCACTGGAAATATAAATAGTACAGGCCTAAGTATCTGTGTCCCAGATTTGATCTTCTATGCCATTAATTGACCTTTCTCCATAGATTCTGATATCCTTTAAGACAAAAATGTTCTTAAAATTGGAATTAAACAATGTCTAATAATGCATGAATCAAAGTAAAGATTTTAAACTTTTTCAAGGAAGAAAAAGTATCACTGGAAAATTTAACAAATTAGGTAATTATAAAAAATGTAGGGAACTCCCAAGCTAGAATGAAATAGTGCTAGCCAACAAGGATGCTGCCAACCTGTGTGCCTAGGGGTGCACAGTGAGGTGGAGAGGGCAGTGTAGCTTCCTGCTCTCTTCACTGCCACGCCTGTCAGACCTGGGTCAGGCCAGCATGGCGCAAATACGGCTTCACAGAAGAAACAGTATTGAGGGATGTGGAAGCTTCGATAGCCTTATTCTTTCCTGTCAAGATTTTAGAACTCAGGGCACCCAGTCTTTATTGTCTCCCCTCAAAACCGCCAAAGGTTCTCACATTAAAAAAGATTTCTGTATTTCATTCTGTGTGACTGAGAGTTTGCCTGCACATGAGCACCGTGTGTGACTGGTTCCCGCCAGGCCAGAAGAGGACAGCGGATCCCCAGGACCCAGGGTCACTGAAGACTGAATCGCCAGTCTGGTCCTAGGCAAAAGCAAGTGCTCCTAACTGCCTCTCTCCAGCCCCACTCTGCAATGCATACATAAAACAGCACAGGAGAAACTTAGCACATACTTACCAGAAGTGGTATTAACTGTAAAGTATTTTTGATGGATGGGTTTTTGCAAATGGCTTCTTGTACATCTGAAAAATCATTCCATGACACAAAAATAATTAGTTATGTATATAAAGAGACTCACTAAAGGATTAGTAACAAAATTCTCATGTGTCAAAGTATTCAAAATTGAATAACTTTTCCTACTGACCCCAGAAATAGTCCTTCTGTGTAAATAGGCCCCTAAATGAAAGCAATTTGATTAGGAACAACTAAATAAAGCTGACTGGTAAGAGGGAATTCCGAGTATTTTGATTTTATGAAACAATCTTCATTAAAATGTCACATTTTCCTTTTGTTTTTAAGTAAAAAAAAAATTCTTGCTGCTTGTGATGGCGCAAGCCTTTAACGACAACAGTCAGAAGGCAGAGGCAGGTGGGTCTCCGAGTTTGAGACCAGCTTGGTCTACACAGCGAGTTCCAGGCCAGCCAGCCAGTCTTATGCAATGAACTTCCCCCGCTTCCTGTGCTGGGCTTGAACTCAGGACCCCGCTCACACAAGAGAATTTCTCTTTTTCTCCTCCCCTTCCTTTTTCTTTAAATTTTACATGCACTTCTGTTTTGCCTGCATGAATGTCTGTGTGAGGGTGTCGGATTCCCTGGAACTGGGGTTACAGATAAGATAGTTGTGAGCTGCCATGTGGGTGCTGGGACTTGAACCTGTGTCCTCCAGAAGAACAGCCAGTGTTCTTAACTGCTGAGCCATCTCTTCAGCCTTTGAGAATTTCATTTTTATTTATTTTGAAATGGGCTTTTTGCTCATATGTTGGTAATATTTGTTAAATTGGAAAGCTTGGCAGCTGTGATTCCTGCATTGTCTTACAGCTTTGCCATTTAACTCTATTCTGCTCTCTCTCTCACCTCTTTGTACTATCCTGGATAGGCACTGCTGACTTATATTCTAGTTTGTTAATCTTCCAGATGTCTAAAAATAATCAGTTAAAATTTAAATCTATTCATATCTTCCATTCATAGGCTTTGTAATTTTCCAAATAGGCTAAGTCATTTTATATTGCATATTTCCTTACTAGGTTTTGAAAGATATGTCTAATTATTTAAAAATATATAAACATAGTTATTTCAGAGTATTTTGTGTCTGGTAATTTTATTATATAATATCTTCTTGTGTTCTACTTAGTATGTATTGTGATTTCTTTTGATTTTTAATGGATTTTTTTCTTTATGGATTAGTTTTTATGACTACTGATTATTCATTTCCCTTAGATCTCAAAGATCTAATTCTTCAAAGATTAGAATATAGACCACATCTCCAAAAGGGACATCAATATACTTTTTCTCAATGATTTTGGGGGTGTTAGCAATTTGAGATAATTTTTAATTATGTTCTTTACTTCAGGCTTCATAGACCAGCAGGTGTATGAACATGGCTGGGATTACTGTGAGGTGCCCGCTAGGCTACATTTCTAAAGCACCAGAGGGGTTTTCCTCCCTTCCCTCAGCTGATCCACAGTGACATTGAAGAGATGGAAACTTTTTGTGGTGGAAGGCATAGTCCTCTCGATGGTCTGACTTCATGGTGAAGCACCTTTTGTGACACTGTGTATTGTTCCCTTTTAATTACTCCACTAATCAAATATCTTCAGCTTGAAGGTTTGTTGTGCTCTACTCTTATTTTCCTAGTTAAAAATTATTTTTACTTTTTTTCCCTTAAAGACAGGATCTTATCAAGGCCCCTAGCAGCAGTCAGGCTGGCCCTCAGCTCACACTGCTGCTCCCGCGGGAGCCACTCAGGGGCTGTTATTACAGGGTTTTGCTTCATGCCCGCACGCACTTAGCTTTAAGAATTCTGTATATGTGTATCCAAAGTTGAGAATTTAAAACACTTGATAGGGGCTGAAGAGATGGCTCAGCGGGAAACAGCATTGCCTGCTCTTCCAAAGTTCCTGAGTTCAATTCCCAGGAAACACATGGTGGCTCACAACCATCTGTAATGGGGTCTGGTGCCCTCTTTGGCCTTCAGGCATACATGCAGACAGAATATTGTATACATAATAAATAAATATTAAAAATACACTTGATAAAGTTATTTTCATGACAGTCAGTATAGACACTTATATGTTTATTTTTAAAACATAAGTATTATGTTCACATATTTTTTTTAAGCCTTTATTGGGGAAGGGGTTTGAGACAGGGTTTCTCTGTGTAGCTCTGGCTATCCTGAAACTTGCTCTGGAGACCATATACTTCTAAAACAGAATAGTATAGAAACTGGTTTTTTTTTTGTTTTTGTTTTTGTTTTTTGTTTTTGTTTTTTTGAAATAGGGTTTCTCTATAGCTTTGGAGCCTGTCCTGGGACTAGCTATTGTAGACCAGGCTGGCCTTGAACTCACAGAGATCCGCCTCCCTCTGCCTCCCAAGTGCTGGGATTAAAGGTGTGTGCCACCACCGCCTGGCTTAGAAACTGGTATCTTTATAAATGATATGGTGCAATAATCTGAAATAGTAACAATATTCTCAATTTTAGATGATTTATTAGCTCTATCTTGTATTTTTACTTCAGAGTTTTAAATTAAATAAAGATTTAACATAAGCTTAAGAACAGGGTGTTCCTTTCTTACAGACTTGCGCCTCCACACTTACAGTACAGCCTTTCATTGAGGTGGCGGAGGGACTGCAAGACCTTCTCTTCCTCAGCCGACACTGCGCAGATGCTGGACGGCTGGGGCTTGCTGGAGGACAGACTTGGCTTCTGTAGCTGCTTGCTGTTTACGGCAGTCAGAATGTCATCCTCAGGCATGGAAGAATTCACGAGGTTTTCTGGTACCGAACACTCAGAAGCACTACCTGAAACTACAGAAACCGCCTTTCACTCTTCCGTCACTTTTGTGTTTGGGACCAACCCTAACATTGACTTACTCAGATCATGTCTGTCTATGCTCAGGTCACAGACAGGGCAGCAGCAAATATTCTGTTACTGTTTATTTCATTTATTCATTTTCTTTTTACTTTTTTTTTTTTTTGAGTCAGGGCTTTTCTGTGTAGCCCTGGCTGTCCTGGAACTCACTCTGTAGAGCAGGCTGGCCTCAAATTCAAAGAGATCCTCCTGCCTCTGCATCCTGATTGCTGAGATTTAAAGACCTGCACCACCACCTCCTGGCTTTTTAAAATTTTCTTAAGTTTTTTTCTAGGATTAAAAATTATTTTTAAATTAAAATATAATCAAATTTCTCCCCTTTCCTTTCTTCTCCCATAACCCCCCCCCCATTCATGGCCTCTTTTTGTTTTTGTCTTCTTTTTGGGTGGGTTTTCAAGACAAGGTTTCTCTGTGCTGCCCTGGCTGTTCCAGAACTTGCTCTGTAGACCAGGCTGATCTCGAACACAGAGATTCAGAGAGTTTAGAACTGCCTCTAGTTCCTGAGTTTGTTTTGTTATTGTTTTACACACACACACATACACACACACTATATATATAAACCTGGTGAATTAATTTAGTGTTGCTTGTATACATATTTCAGGGCTGATCATTTGGTTTTGGATAGTCAACTGGGGGCTCATACCTGGGGAAGATTAATCCACCCCTTCAGTACTTCTTAGTTACATGTTCTTTGTTTAGGGGTGGGACCCCGTGATATTTTTCCCCTTCCACATTAGTATGTCTGTCTTGTTCAAGTCTTAGGCAGTCAAATTGTTGGGGTAATATTTATTTATTAATTTGTATGAGTGTTTTACCTATATGCATATCTGTATACCATGGGCATTTCGTGCCCGAGGAGGCCAGGAGAGGGTGGTGAATCCCCGGGGACTGAAGTTACAGCTGATGGTGAGCCTCCACATGAGTGCTGGTAATTGAACCTGGGTCCTCGGAAAGAGCAGCCAGGATTCCTAATCCCTGAGCTATCTCTCCAGCTCAGTGTACATTTACATTTTAAGGATTTTCTTTATCTGGTATTTTCCCACCCCCAGTTAAGAAAATATTGGCACATACTTTTAATCCCAGCACTTGGGAGGTAGAGGAGGGTGGATCTCTGAGTTTGAAGGCAGCCTGGTCTACATTGTGAGTTCCAAGATGCCAGACCCTATCTACTTCACATTTAATTCTGAGAATCTATGCTACAGAAAAACTGAACAAGTCAGGAGAGAGTTTAGTACATTATTATTCAAAACAACAACAAACTGGGAAGGAACTGAATACACCTTTGTGAGGAGAGTTCAAGTCTATGTAACTGCACAATTCACAAGTACCTGAGAAAATACAGCACCCAGGAGGCAGAGGCAGGCACATCTCTGAGAGTTTGAGATCAGCTAGTTCTAGAACAGCCAATGCTACACAAAGAAACCCTGTCTCAAACAAAACGAAACTAAACAAAACCAAAACCCAAAAGCCAAAAATAACAACAACAACAACACATTGGGAACAAAACTCCAAGAAACGCTTCCAGTATAGCACTTCTGGTGACTGATTGCAGACCTCACCTCTCCTTCTGCTCCTCTGAACCCACTCCCTAGCTCCACCTCCTTCTCTGTAGCAGAGCCCTTGCTGCAGCCTCACAAGCGCTGTCTAGCTCATCTTCAGTGGGTCCTGAGCCTTCTCCTCCAAGCTTCCTTCCCACTCAACTTGTTATCCCAGCCCCCAGCTCCAGCAAGCAGTCTCTGGGAACATGCCAGTCAAGCCTGACAGAGCAGCAAGGAGTCTGGCTAAGTAGGTAGGTGCACTTCAGGTCTTCACTCGCCCTCCTCTCCTCCATATGAACCTGGTTGGCCCCAGGTTCATTCTCAACTCTGCAGCAGACTACTGCTGCGGCCTTTCCTCTCCCCCCATCCCAGGGGCTAATCAGATCTTGGAGGAACACCCTGCTTTCCCACCTCCAGCACACCCCCTGAGACACTGACTCTTCTAGCCCAACCCCACTCTTAAGTGTCAGCTCCCAGAACTAGGCACACCTAGCAGTATCCCAGAAGAATTCCGTCCCAGGCAACACAAAGCTGCCACACTCTCCTAAGCTCCAGAGAGGGCAAGTGAAACCAAGGAATAAAACTCATACCTAACAAAGACAAGATCAGATATCAACACCTAGAATGAGAATCTCTCTGAATCCAGAAGCCTAGCCGCCACTGTAAAAACACAGTCAATTACAGCCAGGACAGTATGTCTCCACTAGAGGCCAGCAACCCACCACAGTAGAACCTGAGTACATAACTGAAATACAAGACAAAGACCTTAAAATAGCCTTCATGAATATAATAGAGGTCCTTAAGAAGGAAATGAATAAATCCCTCAAAGAACTCTATGAAAACACAAACAGTGGAAGGAATGAAGAAAACCATTTAAGACCTGAAAGTTCAAGTGGAATCAATAAGAGAACCTACACTGAGGGGGATCTGGAGATGGAAGTTTAGGAATTCAAACAGAAAAATCTCAGGAGGCATGCCTCATCAACAGATCTCAGATACTGAAGACACAACAGAAGAAACGGATAGCTTTGTCAAAGAAAATGTTAAATATAAAACAGTTCTGGCACAAAACATCCAAAAAATCTGGGACACTATGGGAAGATCAAATCTAAGAATAATAGAAATAGATGAAGAAAAAGAAATTCATGTGAAAAGCACAGAAAAGATTTTTGTTTCTGTTTTTTTTTTTTTAAACAAAACCATACAAGAAAATTTCCTTAGGTCAGAGAAGTCAAGTGTATTCCTTAAATCATGTTAATGAAGTCTGCTGCATTCCCTCTCCCCTTCTGGAGTGAAGTGTATAATAAGCATGTGGAAAATAAATGAGGCACATTCAGTATTCATTGAATTTCCCTCCCAATGCTGTTCTGTGTTTCTGTCTTTTATTTCTCTCATATCTCCGTTCCTTTTGCTTAATAATTGTAATTCATGCTTCCACTCTGGAACATATAAATTTCATCGAGACTGGTCTTTAACATTACAAGATGTAATGGCTTATTAAAAATTGCTGTGGATCCCCGAGTAGCTTGCTGCGGGACAGGGACTGTGTAAGAGACCATGCCACAGGTCTCCGAATGTGGCTGGTCCCTGGTGGTGTCCCCTGCAGCAAGCCATGTGGCGGCAGCAGGCGAGAGACAGACAGAGGCACGCCATGCAAAATGAGGTTGGATATTTATTTAGTAGTTATGGAAGGGAAGGGAGAAAGGGAAAAGAACAGAGGGAGAGAGAGAGAGAGAGAGAGAGAGAGAGAGAGAGAGAGAGAGAGAG